TTTCCCCCCCCAGGGATGGCGGGGGTGTCGTTCGAGGAGTTCTGGGGGTTTTGGGGACCCCCCTGACCCCCCGTTTCCCCCCCCAGGGATGGCGGGGGTGTCGTTCGAGGAGTTCTCGGCCCCCCCCGGGGCGGAGCTGGCGCTGGAGCCCCTTTTCGGGGGGAACATCCTGGAGAGCGAAGGGGAACCCGAGGGGGGGCTCCCCGAGGGGGGGGGAGGGGCCCCGCCCCTCCCCCAGCCCCGCCCCCGCCGCGGGGGGATGGGCCGGGGGGGCGAGGGGGGGGAGGGGCCCGAGGGGGCCGAGCTGAGGAGGAGGAGGATGAAGGTGCAGGCCCTGGGACGGAGGTGTCGGGAGATCAGGCAGGTGGGGACCCCCCAAAAATCCTGGGACACCCCCTGGGACACTCCCCAAAAATCCTGGGGACACCCCCAAAAAATCCTGGGACACCCCACAGGGACACCCCCCAAAAATCCTGTGGACCCCCCAAAAAATCCTGGGGACCCTCCCCCCAAAATTCCTGGGACACGCCCATAATCCCTGACCCCGCCCCCAGCTGAATTGGCCCCGCCCCCTGGCGCTCTGGCCCCGCCCCTGGTGCCTTAGCCACGCCCCTACCCTTTAGCCCCGCCCAAAGTCCCTTAGCACCACCCCCCATCCTTTGGTCCCACCCCCAGCCTTTGTCACCGCCCCCTTGGGTCTTTGGCCCCACCCCGGTTCTTTAGCCCCGCCCCCAGGTGCTATGGCTCCACCCCCTGGTTTTAGCCCCACCCCTGTCCTCTAGCCCCGCCCCCCGGTGCCTTAGCCCCGCCCCCTGGGTGTGTCCCCGCCCCCAGGTGAACGAGCGGGCGCTGCAGCGGCTCCGGCAGGTGCAGAGACTGACCCGGAGACTGCAGAGAGAGCGCAGGTGACACACCTGGGACACACCTGGGACACACCTGGGGACACCTGGGATACCTGGGGACACCTGGGACACACCTGGGATACACCTGGGGACGCCTGGGACACACCTGGGACACACCTGGGACACACCTGGGGACACCTGGGATACCTGGGACACACCTGGGACACCTGGGACACACCTGGGGACACACCTGGGATACCTGGGACAGCTGGGACACACCTGGGACACACCTGGGACACACCTGGGATACCTGGGACACACCTGGGATACCTGGGACACACCTGGGACACACCTGGGATACACCTGGGACACACCTGGGATACACCTGGGAGATACCTGGGACACACCTGGGATACCTGGGACACACCTGGGACACCTGGGATACCTGGGACACACCTGGGACAGCTGAGGACACACCTGGGGACACCTGGGACACACCTGGGGACACCTGGGGACAGTTGGGAGATACCTGGGACACCTGGGATACCTGGGACACACCTGGGACACACCTGGGATACCTGGGACACACCTGGGGACACCTGGGACAGCTGGGACACACCTGGGACACACCTGGGACAGCTGGGACACACCTGGGATACCTGGGGACACCTGGGGACACCTGGGACACACCTGGGGACACCCGGGATACACCTGGGATACCTGGGGACACACCTGGGACACACCTGGGACACCTGGGGACAGCTGGGACACACCTGGGGACAGCTGGGACACACCTGGGATACCTGGGATACCTGGGACACACCAGGGACACACCTGGGATACCTGGGACACACCTGGGACACACCTGGGGACACCTGGGACACCTGGGATACCTGGGACACACCTGGGACACACCTGGGACACACCTGGGATACCTGGGACACACCTGAGATACCTGGGGACACCTGGGATACCTGGGATACACCTGGGACACACCTGGGATACCTGGGGACACCTGGGATACCTGGGACACACCTGGGACACACCTGGGATACCTGGGGACAGCTGGGATACCTGGGACACACCTGGGACACACCTGGGACACACCTGGGACAGCTGGGACACACCTGGGACACACCTGGGGACAGCTGGGACACACCTGGG